TAACACCGACTTTCTCAGTACCTCAAATTGAGAACCATGGCCCTGAGTTTTCTTCTGATTCTCAAATGCACCCATTAACTATTCACTAAGTACTTGTTTTTTAAGGAAAAAATATTACTTATGGCCAGGCACGAATATATATGTATAAGAATTAATACTTTAGGGGTGCCTGGGTGCCTCAGTCGGTTAAGTGACCAGCTTCAGCTCAGGTCATGATCTCGTGGCTTGTGAGTTTGAGCCCCACATTGGGTTCTGCACCCGTGGTACACAGCCTGCTTGGGATTCCCCCCCGCCCCTTTCCCTCTCTCTCTCTGTCCCTTCCCCACTTGTGCTTCCCCACTTGAGTCTATCAAAATAAATAAACTTAAAAAAAAAAAAGAATTGACACTTTAAATATTGTGATTGACTTCAAGTATCCAAAGGAAAATCTAATAAGAGCCTGGGCTATAGCAATAGTCCATTAACTACTTGGCTCAGTGACTGTGTTGGCAGCAAGCAGATGGCACATTCAACAAAGAGTTAACTGAAGACGTAATTATTTACAGAGCCTCGGGCAGGGCTAAGGAGCGGGGATGGGATGGTTAGAGGTGGAATAACTAACTGGACTAATCTCTCTTCCCACAGTCCCATCTTACAGTGGTGCCTTCCATTGCCCAAAGCCCCTGGGAAACCTGAGGACAAGAGAGCTGAGTGATGCAAGCTTAGAATCAGCCTCACAGCAACAGAACAGGGCAGAGAAGACCAGAAAACTGATTCAGGGCTGTGTTATCCAATAAAGCAGCCACTGGACAAACACAACTATTTGAGTCCAAAAAAAAATTTTTTAAGCAGGAAGTCTATGTTGTTGTTGTTTTTTTAATGTTTATTTATTTTTGAGAGAGAGAGAGAGAGAGAGAGAGGGAGAGAGAGAGACACACAGAATCCAAAACAGGCTCCAGGCTCTGAACTGTCAGCACAGAGCCCCACGTAGGGCTCCAACTCATGAGCCATGAGCTCATGACCTGAGCCGAAGCCCGATGCTTAACTGACTGAGCTACCCAGGCGCCCCATTTGAGTCCAAATTAGCATGTGTTGTAAATGTGAAATACATGCTGGATTCCCAACACTTAGTATATATATTTTTTTAATTTTATTTTTTTGTATATATGTTTATATTTATTTTAAATTAAATTTAAATTTATTTTACTATATGTTAATTTACATCTAAATTAACATATGGTGCAAC